AACAGCATGAAAAGTCTCCTCGTGGGACGGAGCCAACCGAGGTGTTTTAACAAGGCACACTTCAGCTTTGCTGGAGAGGATGGGCCCATAATTCTGGAGAAATCGCTTACTTCCTGTTTATGTGAATGTTTTCGGGAAATGTGCTGGCTGCAAGTGTCCATGCTGCTGCTGAGTGAGGTAAAGTGCAGGACATCGCACGCCCTGAGCCCTCAGGATCCTGCATCCTCATCGCAAATCTCTCCCTCGATGACATATCACTCGCATTTCACCCAGGCTGCGGCCCTCAGTCACTCCAAGAGGACCACACTCTGTGAAATAAAGCTTTTATATCATGTAACGTGGTTCACCAATTGGAAAATTAACGAGCGACACTACTTCAAAGCCCCAGATGGACTGTTTTAAAGAGGAACGTGTGGCTGCTCTGTGCTGCAGGGTGAAGCAACTCCACTCTCACAGTCCATTTTTCCTAAACTACTCATTCCTACATCTACATCAACTGCATCCCATAATATGGTCTGCAAGTACAACAGCGATTTCACCTCTAGGGATTTTAACTTGCATTATTGTTAAGGCAACCACTGTTCAGTTTCATTGGTGGAAGGGCTGAATGACATGGCCAATGAGGAGCAGCGAGGCATTCGGGAGGCGTGTCTCTTTCAGTCCTAACAGAACCATGATGCCTCATTTTTTCAGTCCCCGCAGTTTCTGCCAAACTCAGTGGTATCATTGTTCCTTATGATTCCAAGCATCATTCTCTTCCTGTTTCTTTTATTCTATTTCATTCTTTCCACATCATTTCTCTATATCCCTCTCTACCTCTGGCTCGGTCTCTCCATCTCCGTCTCTCTGTCTTTCATTCACTCTCGGTTGCTGCCTGACATATAGTCTTTCATTTAGTCTCCGTATCTCTCTTTTAGTGTAGAACCCTCGTTCTCTGTCTCAGCTTCCTCTCTCTCATCCTGTCTTCCTCAGTCTTTCGCTCATACTGTCGTTCACAATCCCCCAGTCTTTTTCTCTCTTTCCCTCATCCCAGTCACTCTGACCTGTTTAATGACACAGAGCATGTCAGCTGCGTCAATCACTGGCAGCACTGGGCACAAAGCATGGAGGGCATCCTGTATGGGATACCACTGCATTACAGGGCACATGTACACACACCCCATCTATCTAACTGCATGAATGGGAGAAAACTCACACAACACAGGTGAACCCATAGCTACCACATACACACAGAGTGGGATTTGAACCCAAAACCACAGAGGGGAAAGGCAACAGTACTACCCAGTGTGCTGCCAAGCCCCAAATAAAAAAGAATATCCATCTGTAAATGTCAGTTTGACTCTGGAACAAAATGTAATAATACAGACAACTAGACAACAATGAGTCCATGTCACAGTACATACAACTGAACAATAATCCATCCATGTCATAATACAGATGACTGTACCATAATGGGCCATGTCATAGTACAGACTCCTGGACAACAATGGGTTCAATATCATAATATAGATGACTAGACATCACTGGGTCCATGCTGTAATACAGATAACTGGACAACAATGGGTCTATGTCATAATACAGATGACTGAACAACAATGGGTCTGTGTCATAATACAGATGACTGGACAACAATGGGTCTATGTCATAATACAGATAACTGAACAACAATGAGTCTATGTCATAATACAGGTGACTGGACAACAATGGGTCTACAGTATGTCATAATACAGTGACTGGACAACAAAGGGTCCATGTCGTAATACAGATAACTGGACAACAATGAGTCTATGTCATAATATAGATAACTGGACAACAATGAGTCTATGTCATAATATAGATAACTGGACAACAATGGCACAAATGAGGATGGATTCAGCTTTTTTTGTGCTCGCTGTTACTTAAACAAAAAGTTAAATTGAATTGCAAAGCAGCTTTCCTTGACTCCAACCTAAAAAGCGGCGGACTGAAAGCTTTAGCCCTTTGATCGGATACGCAGCACATCTCACGCTCGGAGCAGGAGTCTGGCTCTGTGGCATATTCGCTGGCAACCTGAAAGGCAGATCCATTGTGTGGTGCCCGCGACAGCTGCGGACGGCCGATAGAAGGACCCCGCCGAGAGGTGACGGCTGAATCACGCCATTGCGTTTTGTCGTTGTATCCGAGGCGTTTCGCCTGCTAGCAGGAAACAGCAGGTATCGGCGTTGGGGGGGATAGGGGTCTTTTCTCTTTACCAACCACCATACTACTCTCAGATGATCAGATCACCCTTCCATTCATTCCCGGAACTTCTTAGGGAGGGGTGATTGATGTTTCATTAGCGCAGGGCTCAAAGTGCAGACTCCCATGCCACTAAATCCCTTCTTTTTACACTGAGATCCTTTCTCCTGTCTCCCACTGCAGAGCTGGTGCACAGTCAAGGAGTGTGAAACATGGCTTTTCGTGAAGGTTCCTGAAGAAAACAGCTAACACGGTCATATTGATCCGCTTTTCCCAAATGTATTAGGCTAACAGCAGTCGTTTTTAAATAATGAGTTTAATCTTACATCTTCACCCACCTTAGCAGCATGACAGTTCCTGTAAAATGGGATGGATACAATGACTGCAGCAGCTCTATCCAGCTGGGATTTGATGCCATTTGGCTGGTGCTGATGCTGTACATTTTTGATGGAGCTTGACACACATCCATAATACAAAACTGTGTGGCACCACAGCCATGTACGCCATCCACACTTACAGTAACAGCATGGCTAGTGGCATACACACTCTTGGGGCTGTTTGCATCCCATAATAACTGCAGAAATTAAGTAAATATGCTGTGTCATGAAAATACTGCTCACATCTACATCCTCCATCTGGAATCCAGACTTCCAGACATCACAGAGACATAGCCAAGCACATTTGATGGGTCTCAGGGCCTGTATTAGATAAGCCATGTAGGACTTCACTGAGTCCCTTTGACTGGTCCTTGGATATATCTCAGGTGAGTCATGTGACTTAGTGTCAGAGCTGAGCCCCTTTGACTGGTCCTTGGGTTTATCTCAGGTGAGTCACGTGACTTAGCATCAGGGTTGAGCCCCTTTGACCTCTCTCCCTATTGACAGCCATGTACCAGGACCCGGGAAGCTGGTGAAAGCATAAGCGAAGGAGATGAAGAGCTATGGAGATCTCCAAGGTCCCATTGTCTCTGCGGTGACGCCTTTAATAAATGAACAAATGCAGTTTGTAATAATGAAATCGTTTATGCACTTTAATGGAAACTCTCTCCTTGAGCTAACCCTGTCCAGGGAGTCACAGCAACGGCCCCCTGAACGCTGGCTCTCTGCCATCCGGCAGACAGTGTGGCACCCAGGCTAATCGATGGAGACCCGGCATTGTCTTAAGATTAAATCACATATCCATACCCACGGCTCGATTAAAGAACAGGGCTCTGTGTCAACGTAAAGATTAAATGATAACACTTTACTTGATGCGGCACAAATAATACAGTATTGTACTGTTACTTATGTATTACTTAACCACAACTAAGTCTTAGTTACATACTGATCTCATGTTAATTCATCATTAATGATTTGTGATGCATGTTTTATCTCAAGCAGTTACTATATTTGTTGCTATGTCTCATAATTCTGTAAACCTTTGTGAACCTCTGAAACTTATAAGGAACTACTGAAGGTACAAGTAATGAATAACACAAGTGAAATACTGATCACGTGTTTGTTCATTGTTAATGAATCGTGAGGCATCTTTTGTCTCAAGCAGCAATTACATTTGTTCATAATATTTACTTCATGAGGAACTGAGTTATTACTAAGTATTTGTGCCCTGTTAGGTAAAGTGTTACAGATTAAATTATACATCTACCTCTTGATTAAATATTAAAACACATATCCACATCCACACCTTGGTTTAATAAGCCAAGTCTGCTGTGACGTGCTGTCACACATCCGAAATATAATAAATAATAAATAAACAACTAACCAAACTCCCCACTAAGCAAACCTACCTGAAGGACCTCAAAAGCCTGCCCCTCAGCCACTGCACGCCACTACACACTAAAGACGTTACTCCTGTCAGCTGCCTTTAGATCGCCGCCTTTAATAAAGTTAAAAATGAACAGCCTCCTTTACAAGTCAATCTATCACAAAGTGATTGAAGCTGCAGGGAAAGGTCAAAGCTATGCCAATTAATCCCAAAATTCTCCGGTATGAATCTTCCAAAGGGATACGGTGAACGGGGCACATTAACCTTATGCACTTAAACAAAACTTATCAAATGACCATGATCTTCGGTATACCCAAGGAAGGGACTATCAGCTGGATGGGGAGCTGGTCTTGATGGCTGGGGGGTGGATTGGATATTAAACCATGTCCCCAGAGTACTTTCAAATGAAACTGTGTCCAAACTGAATCCTCCAATCGCTCTGTTTAAACCCTCAGTACATCTATTCATTTATATAAGGATTTAGAGAAGGAAAGCGACCCCTTGTTGACTCCCTCAGGGCAAAAGCAAATATACGGTTGGGGTTAGTAAATCGGTCTGCTGCAGACTGACAGACTAACTGGAAAAAAATCAAGTGACCTTTAAAAACCAAGGAACTCATAATCCTGGCAGGCATTAGGAATTATGTGAGAGTATTACTGCGAGGGGGGGGGGGGTACTTACAAACAGGACTGCGGAGAGCCCGCTCCAGGTAGTCTAACTTTCGCTAAATGTTGCGCTAGATGGGGGTGGGAAGGGGGGAAAGTCTGTTAAGGCTCCGTATCACGACGTGCTTGTCGGCGAGGCTCGTCAGCACGTGGGTAATTATCATCACCGCCGCCGCTAATTAGCTGCTCCGCCGTCTTGACACTGCAGAGCACTGTCCTCATTTACACAGCTGGGTGTGTTTCTGCTGGGATCACTTCAGTCAGGAGGCTCACTGCCGCATAGACGCAGCTATACCCGTCATCAAGCGGTCATCGCCACGTGTGAGGTCAGCGTGGGGGGGTGGGGGCGCTCACCTCCTTCTCCCCGCAGATGTTGCTGATGATGGAGTTGGAGGCGGGGCTTCCGGAGGGGCCCAGGACAGCAACCACTCCCTTGGAGAGTATCTGGCACACTGGCAAAAAAAGAAGAGTGGGGACATTATCATGGTTATAAGACCTTCCTCTGCCATTGCGGGACACCCCCCCACATGACCCAGGTACAGGGCTGCTTCAGAGGGACGGATGCGAGAGCAGAATTAAAAAATTCAACACCCGGGTGCAGAGATATAGTGTAACAATGGAAGCAGTAAACTTGCATTTATCTCTGCTTCTGCTCCTCCCCAAAGACCCCCCATCACACGATTACAGAAAGTTTATAGTGATAAAATTAAATTTAAAGAGATCACTGGCCGGTGAGAGCAGAACAGCAATTCTCTGCTGTGTTTCTGTAAAATATGTATCATCCCACTCAATTATTAATCTCCTTCTAAAAGAAACAGGGTTACACTTGCATCTCACTTTCTCACATGCGGGCTGCGTTAACTGACCTTTAAGGGAACAAAAGCCCATTTAGAGAGTGTCTGTAATCCTTGTGTTTTTAATTAGTGTGTGGGGGGTGTCAGCTAATATGAAACTCAATAGGGGCTGGTGCTTGGCCCCAACACAGAATGATGGGAACTTAGGGAAGAAGAGAATTGGGTAATGAATTAATAACTCTGTAATCAGAGCCTGCCCTCCCCCCTGGCGCCATTCCAACATGATTCCCTGCCATGAAAGTTAGAACAGATTTGTTGTCTTTTGGCTTAAAGCGCATCCCTTCCAGCAATAGGGCTGGGAGATGTCACTAAGAGAGCCTCCCTTATGAAGAATGCTAATTGGTATCTCCCATCTCAGGGGTGTTGGTCTCCCCCACCTTGTGAATGCTTAATAATCACTCCCATCCCGTGCAGTGTTGAATGGTCTCCCCCACCTTGTGGGTGCTTAATGGTCTCTCCCATTCTGAGGGGTGCTGAATGGTCCTCCCCACTTTGTGGGTGCTTAATGGTCTCTCCCATTCTGAGGGGTGCTGAATGGTCCTCCCCACTTTGTGGGTGCTTAATGGTCTCTCCCATTCTGAGGGGGTGCTGTATGGTCTCCCTCATCTTGCGAGTGCTTAACAGTCCGTCCCATCAGCACTTACTGGTCTCCCCCATCTCGTACTCGCTGTCCCTCAGCAGCTCAAAGATGTCCACCTCCAGCTTGCCCACAGTGGAGCGGTTGCTGGCCCGGTTGATGCTGTCCTTGGCCAGGGTGATGGCCAGCCTCTCCCCCCGGCTGCACTCCATCGGGTCGTCGAGGATGGCGGCTACGGAGCACAAGGAAGTCGGGTCAGAACTGCACCCGTCTGCCAGTCTGATATGCATTACGAAGATGTAAAGAGCTTATAAACATAATTCACCTTACACAGTGTCAAAAATAACCACACATAGTGTCACAAATAATCAAATGTATGCTTTGTTGGATGCATGTCATAATTTTTTTTGTTACATATTAATATACAGGGAAATCACAAGAGGATCTGGTAATAGAACCAACTTCTGTTTAGGGTATCGGGTCCAGACCCCACTGCCTGATCCAACACCCATTTGCAGCCTTTCCAAGTCTGGACATCTGTTCTAATTCCCTGTGTGTCTCTCCTTCCTGGTGAAGCCAAACAGGCTTTCTTCCCATTCCTCATTCCATGAAACCATTCGGTCACTAAATAAAGTCCACCCCCCCACCCCCCCACCTTCCCCCTGTCACATGTTTCCAGTCTCCATCCTGCCTGGAGTACGTCTACACCGATGGTCTTGCTCCCTGTGAAACGATGGCTGAGGATCGCTGGAACGCTGTTGGCGTAAAGCTCAGCTAAGAGATGGGACAGGTTAGGCATGCTGAGCACGCCCGGGCTGTTGTCCAGGACAACGGAGGGCAGTCTCAGGTATCGGGCGGGTGACATGAGTGACAGAGGAGTTGCCACAGAGAGCCCGTGGCGAGTGGCCTCTGGGGCTCTGCCGGATGTCCCAGTGGGATTCTCTCGACTGTGAGCCAGTCATTCTCCAGTAGGAGCTGGGCAGCTCTGACAGAATGGGCCTCAACAGAGCTGTTAGCCCAGTTAGCCTCATTGCAATACAGATGAATAAATGGATGGAGAGGCGTGTGATTAAACACCTCGCTGAAGGCCGTACGCAAGATTTGCATTTTCAATTACGGTCAGTTTTCCTCAAGAAAAAAAAAAACTGTTTGGAGAAGTACTACTTTTAATTTTCTTTATTTTTATTGGTACTGAGTGAAATTCCAGGCGGAACAAGAAAACTGCTGGTAAGAAATGCAATTAAGAAAGGCTTGTGATGTCTCCAGCGGATCTCTGATTGTAAATTAAAAATCAAGACCAAAGAAAAACAGAAGGAAAAACCTCCCACATGTGAAAGCTTGTTTTGCAGTGAGGGGGGGGGTCCTTTCATTTAAAATTTAGGGAGAAATGGAGTGAGGTGACTGAACTTTGTTGTTAGTGATTTCGCTTCCTTGTGACACCAAAGGAACGACCAATTTTGGCAGTTCAGAGTCTTTCTATCATCATGTCTCATGCTAATCACGTGATATTCCCATATGTAGGGTTGTGAAAGACTGACTGGATAAGAAGTCCCCCACCCTACACCCCAAAGTCTCTTTCCCAGGTTTCTAAAGGGGGAGATTTACTAGAGATGGGCTTGTGTGGGGGGCGTGTTTTCAGTCTGACTCTGCTTGCTGTAGGTTCTGCCTTTATAGTTATATATTCTGTGTTTTCAGTGTTGTTGTCTTGCTGTATGTTGTTTTCACAGATGTATATCCTGTGTTTACAGTAATGTTATTTTCTCGCTCTATATTGTGCTTACAGATGTACATTCTGTGTTTCCCAGCAGTGAGCTGGGGGGGGCGCACTACCAAGCGGGTTTACGGACTTACAGGCGTTTCTTGAGACTCACTTCTGTGTTTTGGGTGCTATGAATTGTAGCTCACTTATAAACAGAGTATATGATCACTATATAGCAGGGAGGGGCGATTCCACTGACTTTCTAATATCAAGGTCTTCACTCTGATACCGCTATTCTGTACCAGCCCCATTGGGGAAGATGAAATTTGCTGGGGGTTGGGGGGGTATTACCTACCTATCAAAGGGTGGCTCTTAGCATCTTCAGTTTGCAATGCCGACTTTGCTCCTTTTCTGTGAACGTGCACAGACAAACCCGAGCCAACTTACCAAGTTGATAACTACCTTTGTGGCACCGTTCAACACTGATTGCAGCAATTAGAGCTTGTTACCCCAACTCTACCAGGTTAAATCTGGGTATGCCAATCTTGCTTCGTAGCACACCCCACTGGTCTCGCTGTATGCTATGGTTATAGCTGTATACTCTCTGTTTACAGCAGTGTCCTGAGGGATGTCATACAGAGTGGGTTTTCTGGCTTAGTGAGGTTTCTCAAGGCTTACTTCTGAGTTTTAGGTACTACGGTAATTTATGGTCCTTCTTCGTGCTGGTCGTGAGTGTCTATCTGTGCAGGCAGCTGAGTGTGGAGTGGGCGTCCTCTCCAGCCTGAGAAGGCCACCTCCCTGAGCCTGATCCAGCTAAGTGACCCTAGGTGAACCGGCAGCTTCCACATGAACCAGCTGGATGCCAGCGTGAGAGGCCCCGTCGGAGTGATTCGCGTCTGCGGCCTAACTGAGGAAGCAGCGTGCTTCCCTGGAGCCGCCGTGAATCACCTAGAGCTGCGGGCGCTGTGTTCAGGGCTCAGGAACGGATGAGACATCTGAGGACCAGGAGACACACACACAGACACACACACACACA